ATACATTCCATTCCCTTGATGTTACCTGTGTCTGCTGCTATCTGTATCTGAGAGCAGAGCTGAAGCCAATACAGGCAAGCTAAATGTAAGATTAAAGATATCACATGTAAAACTTTAGGATTGGGGTTAGAACCATTCACTTGCTGTACACGGACAGCAACCCATCTGCAGAAGAGAGATTTCTGCTCTTCCTATTCATTTGCCAATAATATTTGACACAGAGTCTCCTGTGGGGGAAAAGAACCTTGATTTTCCAAGGTTCTACTTGCACCAAGAACCTCCATCAATCAGGAACCTCTCCCTGCAGGAGTATACTGGATACTGTGCAGTTGTGATTTATGGAAGTGAGAGCTGGACCATAAGAAGGCTGGCCTGGGGGGCTGGGGAAGCGGACATGGGTAGGGGAAGAGTAAAATTCCACACTGGGAGAGGGTACTTTTACATCTAGGATATGGAAAGTAGCTTTGAGAAAAACTCACTGTCCGCTCCCAACTAAGGTACCAAAATTCCAGTATAGATGTTTTCCATAACTTGGCTTCCTTCCATTCAGTATTGCAGTAATTCTTTTAGCAACCCCCAGCCCTTTATGCTGATTTATAAAACATACATTATGTTAACTAGGAATACCATTTGATGTGCTTACTATGTATGTAGAATACGATGTTTTATAATTATTTTATGATTTTGTCTATTGTATGCTATGAACATTTTTAATAAAAATATAAATAGTAAAATAATCATCAATAAAACATGCTTTCATGGATTGTAGCCTGTTTGCTCATGACAAATAAAATATGTAAAATGCCACAAGATTTTTGTGTTGGTTTTGCTCCGACAGTCTAAGACAGGTAACACCTTGGAAAAATGTCACAGGATTGCTAATTGGTCTTTAACGACCCCTACTAAGACCCTCACCATGCCGGACCTTTTGCCCATCTGCAGCATTCTGTTCTGCCCTTCTATGTGAATCTGAAAATGTGCGCCTGTTGAGATTACATGCTGGCCATAAGAGCTCATGTGATCATATGTGTCTAAAGTTTTTTATGGGACTCATTATTCTAAGATTTTTCACAGATGAAGTATTTCAAATATTTTAAAAATGTCTTCTTGTTCCTGTAAATTGAATAACCATATTCAATAATATTAGAATACAAGCAATTGTCCCTGTGATACTTTCCTTAGCAGGAATAGTACTCAGGAAACCCAGTGTGGTGTAGTGGATCGAATGATAGATTAGGACTCTGGAGAACCAGGGTTTCAATCCTCACTCAGCCACGGAAACTGACTGGGGCAGCCAAGTCCTCCTCAAATATCTCACTTACCTTCAAAGCCCTGTTAGGGTTGCTATAACGTGGTTCCAACTTGACAGCACAGGACAACAATAACAAAAGAACGTTACTTACAGAAGACGAACATATTGTTTTCCCTGGTTTTCCCTCGGAGTCTATACGGCGAAGCACGGAAGATACAGAACTTTTGTGAAGTGGTGTGCTCCAAATCCTTCAAAAGTAATTTATGGAACAGGAAAAGCCAGGAATAATCCTTTAATTTCATATGTCCTCCTTTTTCATCTTCTCCTCCCCTTCTAATTATACATCAAATAATGGGCATGGAAGAAAATTCTCTCAATTGTCAGCTGTGCTGATTGCATTCCCTCCATTAAAAGTCCATGAAAATAAGCACGGTCATTTGATAGCCGGGTTTTCCAAATTGTTTTGAGTCACAACCCCCTTTTATAATGGTCCAGTAACCTGCGACCCTCATGTCACATTGGCATAAAAAGGCATTTTAATGGGGTAAAGAAAAAACACAGGAAAAATAGTTTTTTCAGAATCCACTTGTAACCTAATGAATTAAAATTAATGTAATAATACACAATTACGCTTGGCTATACATCTGCCTATATCAGTTAAGGAGAGAAAAATATTAATACACTTTGAATTTAATTTACAGTACTTTGTTTTGGATGTGGATATGCTTCTCTCTTCATGTCTCCACCCCCCGAAAAAGCCCCTCGAGTGAAGAGCCCCTCCTCATGTCTCCACCCCCCAAAAAAGCCCCTCCAGTGAAGAGCCCCTCTTCCTTGAGCCCTCCCTGCACCCCACCCTCTCACCAATTCTCCTCCTTCACCTTTGTGCCCCCCCTTGCCTTAATCCTCTGTAACTCAGGTGGGGTCCTGAAGCATCTCCCCATCTATAAAAAGAATTGCAACTAAAAATAATCACAGCAACCCCACCCCCAAAAACACCTTGTGACCTTGTAAAGAGTCAGTACCCCCAGGTTGAGAAACCGAGTTCTATAGGAATATAGGAAGGTGTCTCATAGTCAATCAGGCAGTTGACCATCCCGCTAATCTTTGGCGCCGGGAAAAATGCACAGAAGAAATGAAACCCATTTTTCCTACCTTGGTTTAAGAAGAGGCAACATTCTTGAGCATGTGCATTTTAAATTTATTGAAATCATGATTGTAATAATAAAATGGAGTTTGCTTCTGGTGGCCTGACACTAATCCCCTTTACTTGGGAATGAATGTGATCTTCTGCGCAAAAGGATAATGTGTTTTTAAGGTAAAAAAAATAAAAGTAGCATCTCTAGCCCTGAATTTATACCCTGGCTATAATTTAAAAAGAAGGAAAAATGCTGTGGTGACCCACAGGTAACTGAGAAATTTGAATCGCCTACTCTCAGCATTTCAGTCCTTGGAACCAACAGTTTCTGGAATTCTGTTGAATACGGAAATCAAAGCTTTCTCAAAGAGCAAAGACTCATTCATTTGGCTCTTTTGAAGCCCCTCCTAATGCAAGGATTCTCAGAGAACAAAAGCCTCCCCCCCCCTCAGTGCAAGATGTAGAAGGCTAAGTCAGAGTGTGATTTGCAAGACAGTCTTCACAGTTTTAGAAGACAGGAGACTAGGATGCAGTAAATGGAGGAAAATGGCTTTGACAACTAAGTATAGTGGCAGGTGTATACTTTTTATAAAGTTTTATAAAGTACAATGTTTACTTTTTATAAAGTTCTTGATCATCTCGGAGTGCAGGACATGTAATAATGAGCTCAAGCTACAGGAAGTCAGATCTCGGCAATCAAGAAAAACTTAACTTGTTAGAGCAGCACAACAATGGAACCTTGGAAGGTTGCGAGTGCACCAACTCTGGCAGCGTTCAAGAGAAATCTGGACAACCATCTGCTTTGATTTAGATTCCTGTATTGAGCAGAGGATTGGATTCAATGGCCTTATAGGATCCTTCAGACTCAATTATTCTATGATTCTATCTTTCTTTCCAAATCTTGTTTAAAATTTAACATTTTATCCAACAAATAAGGTTGTAAGTTTATAAATCCATATGTCCATAATACCTATATATGTTAGGTGATAATTCTATTGTCTGTAGTATAATTATATTATTGATCCTATAATATTATTATAATCCATAAAATATTATTTTTCTAATCTAGTCATAATCTATATTTCTTAGCATGCGCCAGGAGCTCTTTGTGCTTCTGGCTGCATCACCTGATGCTTTCAGAGAGTCATTTGGGAGCCTGTTGGGTGGCAGTTCCCTAAAAGACTTCAGCCCCCAAGCTTTAATTTCATCACTAGATAGACTTTGAACCATGATCAGCAAGCAGCATTGACTTCCCTATTCACAGAGGTCATCTGGTGTCATGATGAGTCTTCAAAATCTGTCAGGTGATATGCAGTGACTAAACTTTTTTTCATTAGTGCAGACACTACATAATTTCTTCCTCAGTAATCAAGGGATAAGGTTTTGTATCTTATCTCATGCCCCATAGCAAGAAACCATACTGGCTGTTTGAGTTCTTTTTAGCCTTTATTTACATTAAAGGTTAGGCAATGGCTGGGGGCTAAGAGATCAAATTGCCATCCTCTCAACCTGCCTTAGGCCACATATGTGCCCTGTCATTACTTTACTCATACCTATTAAAAGGCACTTCCTCTTGAAATGAGTGGCACCAGGAGCAGTGCATATTGTTTAGAAGCCAATTAGCACTTCCAGTTTGTTTACCGGAAGCACCAGCTGACAAGGAAGAAATGCCTTTATATAGGTGCAACTGGTTATTTTCTTGCTGCCATTGTATCGCCCTTGGGGGCTGCATGGGGAGGGGGAGAATAATATCTAGGGGCCACACACCACCCACAATCCAGTTGCTTCCCACCCCAGTGTTACATCTTTAGAAGATAAAAGCCAGCATATTTTCTCACAGACTGTGAAACAGCCGTACAGTTTCCGCATACAGTTTCCGCGTCTAATTTAGCAAAGTACTTTCTAGTCACCTCAGAAGGCTTGCTAAGGAATTGACGCTACTCTAATCTGATATATAGTGCAAGGCGGCTTGAAGTTCTAAATTTAATGAAGCCTGATTTTAGTTACAGTACTTGTGGTGTATGCTAATGTTCTGTTGCTGAAAAGTGGAATGGAAGGGAAATCACTCAAACATCCCTCGGCAGCATCCTTACTGTATACTTGATTTTGCACTGGTTGTGAGACTGGTCACATAGCAGGGAAGCTGTTGGAATGGGGAATGTGGTTGCCTTCTGCTCAATGTATAGGCAACAGGGTATGCCTCAGCTTATGTTGTGGACCTCATTATATTATAAATTATTTCATGAGTTTCTGGGAAGGAGTTTTAATGAAACCCTTAAATCAGTTCTGCATTTAGATTGTTTGATTAATAAGGAACTGGGAACTTAGTTATTGGAATCTGAATTTGCACTTCAGTCAGCAAAGCTAACTTTATGAATAAATGATGAAGTAACTAATAATAACACAAGTCACCCAGATAGGCGGGGTATAAATCAAATAAATAATAATAATTAAGTTTTACCAGACGCTACATTGCATCCTCATGCTATTTCCTTCAGCCCATGTAATTTTATTCTATTTTTATCTTGCTGTTCAAAAAGCAGACAGTCTTAGTATTACAGAACAAAACAAAAGGCATAGCTATAAATCCAGCATGGTTGCATATTCAGCTGTTGGATGTTTTGAATTATTCTGGGTTAAAACTCTTATTTGGAAACGTCAAATGTTTGGACTATGATTCCCAGATTCCTCTGCCATGGTGTTTGGGGATTCTGGGCTCTGTAATTTTAAACAAATAACTTTTGGAGGAATGATGTAGATGCAGCTTTCACTAAGCATTCTCCTTCCCCCCCTCCCAAAAAAACTCCTACTTAAAGTTCATTTTTGCCAGTCTGTCTTATTCCTAACCACTGCTTCCCAGATGAGAGGTCATTTATTTCTTTTGCTGCTCTCAGCCCTGATATTATTGTCGTATCTAGCCAGCCATGAAGCTTGGCAGTATGTTCCCCAGCAAAATGGATTCTGCCCTCTGGCATCCCGAGAGTCTCACTATAATCTATAAACTGGTAAGGGGTGAAGGCAGTATAGGCACACATAGAGTACTGATCCAGGCTCCATCGCTTTACGACTGCAGAGGGACAGAGATTCCGGATCTCCCATTTGGGCATCTGGTGGACGGCTGCCAGGTCATCCATTATGATATTCACGACATTCTCATCACTGAGAGCCAGGAAGAAACGAGAGTCATCCCCTTGGACGTAGGAAGCCAAGATAACACCAACGCCGCCTGTAAAGTTTTGGGCAAGGTAGTAGATGAATCGGGATGGGCGATCTGTTGTGGATTTCCCACCATAAATACCATCCCGTTCCCAGAACTTCTGTCTGCAAGCAAGGAAGATCTTGGTGGCACTCCTGTAGTAGGTGGACCTCAGGGCGTTTGTTTTGTTAGGCGAAAGAGGTGGATCAAAATAGATGCGTCGTGTGGCCCTGGTTGTGGAGGTGACAATGGCATAATCGGCAGTCACACTTGACACTGTTTTCCCTGGGGTCTGATAAATCACATTGACTGTGTGGGCGTTCTGCTCTATCCTGATGACTCTGGCATTGAAATGAACCAGTCCTGGGATGGTACTGTAAATGGCTCTGGGCAGCTGATCCATGCCTCCCACAATTTCATCAAACCTGCGAGGCAAAAACAGGCTGGAGGTGAAATGGACAGAGTCTGAAAATAGCAGCAGCAAAACATAAGAACATGGAAAATACTGGCAGCAGGAAAAAACTGGCGGCATGCAGTGGTGCAGTAGTAAATTTTTAAGTGCAGATACTCACCATGAGAGTCCCCATAGCCACACGCTCCACTCTTAGAAAATCCCAAAATGGAGGCGTCTGCACTGATCTATATCAATAAACTATTTCTGGAAGTTTCAATCTTCACTGGAAAGAAGTCTTTTGCAAATCTAATGGACTATAATTGCATGTTTCAGACCAAAGCACATGGAAATACTTTGGATTGCAATGGAAAAAAGGCATAACCGAGCTGTGTTGTTGGGTAAATCCATGTACAGCCAACACCCCCACCAGCAACTGTGATTCCTGAGTGAGCAGGAAACACTGTGGCAGCTAATCAGAAAGCACCCATGTTAACCTGTCTCAGCTTGTTGGCCAAATTATTTAAAGGGGAAAAGGAATGGGAGGAAAATGGCAAAATTTTGTGGCACTGTGAAGATTGCCTGATTTGTTTCTATGTGGACCTTTTAAATCAAAATCTAGTTCTTCAGACTGAAGAATGTCTGAAGAAGCAGATTTTGACCCATAAAGGCTGACACTGAAATCAATCTGGTAGTTTTCAAATTATCACAGTATTTTGCCTCACAGTAATATTATCACAGTATTTTGCCAGAAAGGTCTAGTCAACCAACATCACCACCAATAACTGTGACTGCAGAGTGACAAGGAAGCAGGGGGAACTGTGGTAGCTAATCAGATACTACTAGCATGGTGTCTTAGCATTTCGGCAAAATTATTTAAACAGGAAGTTTGAGTCACCTGATATTGAGAGGCCTGATTTCATAACATGATGGTTAGCACCACAGTCTTTGAGAAATACAACAGGCGACTATGAAAGATGAGGTCAAACAGTTTTCTGGGACATTTTCCCCTCACCAGGAGAAAACATATGGCTTCTGAGATTACTATTGCTGTGTGAAGATCTCAGATATGAACACTGCTCACCTCACTCTGAGATATCTGGCTACTGATCAGCTTATTTTCAATTATGGACTTCCTATCTGTTTCTTTTAAGAAGGATCTGGTTGGGGTTTCAGGACAAGGCAGTTAAAACAGATTCAATCAAACACCGTTTCAAAAAACAGTTCTAGGTTTTGGTTTGGGTTCCAAATGATTCAGTTCTGCCACCAGGCATTAAAAACCTGTGTGCGTATCTATACTGTACTGATTTTATCAGAACTTCAAGGAAGCTGACAGTGATCATAAAAAAAGATTAAAAACAACTAGCAAAAGCAATCCCAGTAGCAAAATCAATAACAATTAAATAAACTCAAATACAACCCTAAAAACATTAAAATCAGTAAAATCTACAAACAGTTAATATTATCACAATAAACGGAACAACATCATTAATACATTTACAAAGACCTGTCTTCACACTCTTTCTAAAAGCAGCCAGGTTGGACACTGATCACAACTCTGAGGGGGAGGGCCTTCTAAAGTCTGGGAACAGCCCCTGAGGCAGGAGACGAGCAGTTCTCATGGTGTGAAATTATGGCGTGAGATTTTATTTTCTGTTAACCAAGTCAAACTGTACAGCTATAGGGACCAACTCAAAAGTGGACAATAGGGGTTATACCAGTTAAGTGGCATAGCTTCCTTCTGAAGAACTGTGGATGTTTTACCTTTCTATTAGGGAAATTCCCTTTCTCTCTCAATCTACAATTCCCAGGGTTCTCTGGGGAGAGGAAGTGATAATGAAATATATACACCACAATCTAGTATTGTGTAGATATCATTAAGACGAGGAAACAATCTCGAATTGCATGTGACTATGGCAGCAGTGTTATAGACAGGTTACAGCATCACAGGATAATGAAACAATGCAGCTTCTCACTCCTGTCCCCCTACCCACACTGTGCTTCTCTTGCACAACGGCCAGCTTTCGGATGGAAAAAACTGACATTTGATAAAGTTATGTTCATTACCCTTACATATATATGACACTGTGAGATGCTATTGCACTCATGTTTTTGCTTCTTGACTTCCCAGGAGCCATCTGGCTGGTACTTCTGATATTCTGTTATTATGCTGAGTTCATTGTAAAGAGTCTGAACATATATTCTTACAGTCTGAGAGGGGGGAAATGGGCCCAAGCACCATTTGGGTCCAAGAAAAGCAGATTCTATTTCAATCTGGGTGATTTATCCTAATTTATCCTATTTTAATTGTATTTTAATTGTATTTCAATCATTTTATCTTTTATTGTATTGAATTTTAATTGTTGTAAGCTGCCCAGAGACCTCTGGGTGGCATATAAATTAAATTTAAATGAATGAATGAATGAATGAATGAATGAATGAATGAATGAATGAATGAATGAATGAATGAATGAATGAATGAATGAATCACCAAGGAGTAATTCTTTGCTTACTTTGACGATAAGATTTCATAATCTGCCATGCTCTCAAGAAAAGACAAGTAATATCCCGAATCTTCGTTTAATATGTCTCCAATCATCTGGACAGCTCCACGACTCAGTTTGCTACCTTGATTAAATATTGCTGTTAAGGGGGAAAGAATTCCAGGGATTGTGAGCAAAAAATAGCACAGGTTCATAGCACACAAGGAGATCAAATAAGTATACCCTTGATTTGCCCAAGAAAATATCAGATTCAGTATCTAGTATACCATGCAGCACACTGAGATTCTCATCTTTGCCTATTAAAAATATGATTTTTTTTAAAAAAAGAAGGAAGGGTTGGCTCCTATACCATGCTTTATTCAGAGCTTGAAAAGCTTGCTTTTGGGGACTACAGGTCCCAGAATGCTCCAGCCTCAATAGCCAGTGGAGGAATCTGGGAGGTATCACACACACCCTCCCTCAAATGATTATAACCATATCTTGTGCCAATGGAGTTTATAAATACATGATTTCCTGAACCAGTTCCCATCATCTTCCTATATTCTGAATTGAGCAGAATCAGGGAGGTGTCGCCCCAAAAAACTTCAATCCCCTGAAGAAGCAAGAAATGCAGAGCTAGGGCACCCATTACAGGTCGCCCTCTCACTTGTGTTCAAACATCATGAGCAAAAGAGAGTCCACCCCACTCCTAGGCAATGCACGCCATCCTCCAGCTGCTCTCATAGTCAAGAAGTTCTTCCTAACATTCAGGCAAAATCTCCTTCCTCATAATTTGAATCGATTGTCTTAGATCCTACCCTTTGGACCTCAAGAAAACAAGGTTTGTTTCATCTTCCATGTGACAGCTCTTCAAATATTTGAAGATGACTATCATCTCACCTCTCCTTCTTCTCTTCCCCAGGCAAAACATAGCTAGCTCCCTCAACCATTTCTCACAGGCCTCATTCCCAGACCTTTTTTTGTCCTGAATGGTCTCTTCTACAGAGATTTTAGCTTGTTGACATCCTGGTATAGATTTACCAGATGAGCGGGATATAAATCAAATAAATAAATAAATAAATAAATAAATAAATTCTTAAGTGGTGGTGCCTAGAACTAGATACTCTATTCCAGATGAGGTCTGATCAGTGTGGAACAGAGTGCTGCTATTCTTTCCCTTGATCTGGACACTCTGCTTCTGTTCATAGAACCTAGTATTGCATTCACTTTTTTTCCCCTGCCATGTCACACTGTTGCCTAACGTTTAATATATGGTCTGCTGAAACACCAGGAAACTTTTCACATTTGCTGCTGGCTGTCACACATCTAATTTTTCTGCACCTGCTTTTTCCTGCCTAAATGTAGAACATTTGTTCTCTTTTCCTGTTGAAAATTGTTTCATTCATTTTCACCCAGTTCTCTAATCGGTTAAGGATGTCTGGGATCCTGATTTTATCTTCTGAAGTCTTACCCTTCCGAAGTCTTCCTTCTCTCTGCTGCCTATTAGTATATCTCCATCCTCTCTATGCAGTGAGCCTTCTATTTCCTTGTCCCTCCTCTTGCTTTGAGCATATCTGAAAACTCCCCTTCTGTCATGGTTAGTCTCTCTTGCAAGTCTTAGCTTATTGGAGCTTTAACTTTCCCAAAAGTCCTCTACAAATACTGTATTCATTTCCAGTTCATTGATTTAGCCCTCCTTTCTTTTCCCTTTCAAATGTTGCCCTGGCTTAGAGGAGATAAGAAGATGTTTTCAATTATGTCCCAGGAACATAAAGGAAAATCCATCAGATAAGGTGAGAGAGAAGAGATTATGAATGAGTAATTGACAAAGAAATTGTTAATAACATTGTTACATTTTACCAGACCTCACACTTCATCCTCATGCTATTTCCTTCAGCGCATGTGGCATGAATGTTTTTCTTGCTGTTCTGAAAGCATTTTGTCTTAGCATTACAGTACAGATAAAGTCATAACTACAAAACCAGTGCAGTCCTGTTAGGTATTTTGAATTATTGTGGAACTACTAATTTGGGGATGTAAATTTTTGGACTACGATTCCTGGATTCCTCTGCCATGATGTCTGGGGATTCTGGGAGCTGTAATTAAAAAAAGAAGAAGCCAGGGGAACTGACAACTCCTTACATACGAAGAAGAAATAAAATCAGGGACATGCAAATATATTTTACAGGTGATTGGAAAGAAGGGGGCGGGAACTTTGCTAGTAGAGTTTATTTCGAGATGCTTTTTCTTCTGTTACCCTGGTGTATTAAAAGTCTTTATACTTCTATCTATCTATCATGTTTTATCCAATCCACGTTTTTCAGTATCCACAGGGGACCTGGAACCAATCTCCAGGAAATATGGGGTGTCCTACTGTATAACATGTATTATAAACACAGATATGGTTGGTGGATAGGAGAATAGTGCACCACTTCCCTGTGTATGCTTTGTGTGGTGTGCTTCCCCCCCCCAACAAGGCCATCAAGTCCAATCCCCTGCTCAATGTTCAGATGTGATTACCGTATAGAAGAGTACAGAGGTATACACTGTACCATCTATTGTAAAGTCCACAGGAACAATTCCTGAAACAATAACATTAACCTATCATTTCACCAGCTTCTCTGTGTGCTGTAGATAATAATTTTTCGCACCATCACCAAATACAGAGAATCTAATCTTTTGAAGGCATTTAAACCAGATTCTCTTTTAGCATCATCGTTCTCTTTTAGGAACAGGTCACAGAAGAGCGGGGTAATAAAAGGTCAGGGAAAGGTGCTTAAACCTGTCGAAGGGACTCCTGATACAACTGATCTGCAGTTTTGCCTTCTTCAGAGGGATCAACCTCATAGCCCAAGAGGCTGGGGTTCTTCTTGACCTCCCAGATTCTTCTCCTGATGTTATTGAGCAAATACCAGGCATTATCATCCTCCTGAACAAAACTCTGCCAGCCTCAGGCCAAACTTTCTAATGTACTCACGGACAATCCTGGTGAAGAGAAGTTACAGGCATAGTAAAACATTACTGTGATACAAAGCCTTAAACAAAAAGTACAAAAATGAAGTATTTTTTAAAAAAGGACATGGAATTTCCATCTTCTTCCTTCACTTGGCTGTTAGGAGGAGTGTTCTGAGGCTTAGCCATGTCACTCATTGTTATAACTCAAGAGACATCTTTGGTTAAGAAAAATGACGGCAGAAATTCAGTGGTGTGAGTACATTAGGATGTTCAATTAGATGAAATCAATTTTTATTTCATTTTATTATTATCTTGATCCTGGAGCAAGCTGATGCACTGTCATTTCCTGTCTTTATTCATTTTATTATTGCCTACAATATGCAGCGACTTCATTTTACATACATACATACATACATACATACATACATACATACATACATACATACATACATACATACATACATACATACATACATACATACATACATACATACATACATACATACATACATACATATCACTTTTAAAAACTGTGTTGGTGATGATGTCTTGGGAAGAAAGGTCGTTTTGCCATTGCTTGGAATTATTGCAACAATAAAAATATTTACACCTAATTATATACCCAGAGTTTGGAAAAGCTTGCCACTGATTGTCTAGTTTCATTCTGAGATTAACACTTTACTGGGATAATGTCAGCTACTGTGTTCTTTGCTTGGGAGATTTATAAATCTCTACTCTGGAGAAGTCAGGCATCTTTATCAGGTTCTGACATTTCCTTAGCTGCACATGACACTATGAATATTTGGGAGACAGCCTGGTGTTTAGCAATACTTGAACATTCATAGTATAGTGTCAGATTTTAAGCCGGTTATCTCATTGAGCAATATAGTCAATGGAAAAATTATAATCACTAAATATTTCTATACCTGCAGCACTGTGATTTTCATACATAAGAAGAGTCAGAATTGCATGGTTGCATAAGGTTGACGTATACTGCCATGGCTAATTGAGAGTAACAGACCAGAAGTTGGGATGGGTCTTAATTAGAGATGGGCATGCGGTAGGTCTCCGTTCGTCCTCCCACACGCTCGCTGGCTTCCAGTACTGTCACCTAGGGGCAAAATAGAACGACAATTGCTTCACTCAGACAGTTGTTTCTGCCACAATTTCTTACTTTTTTTCTTTCAAAGAAAGCCACCGCAGCCTGCTGAACGATTGCTGTGGGGAAAAGGGGGTGTTGTTGACCCCATGGGTGCTGCCCCCACAAGGCAGCACAGTCCACCCTGGCTAAGAAGAAAGGCAAGGAAAAAGGGGAGTGATCTCCTTTCTATCTCCCCAATTTTCTTCACCTCAAGGTTCTCCCCTCACATTAGTCCTGCTGCTGTGAGCTTGCGCCACCGATGCTGCCTCCTTATTTGTGAGTAAACCAGGTAAACTTGCTCATGAATAAGTTGGTACATTGACATGCAAATAAGTATTGACTATTTTTAACTTGTATTCGCTAAGGCTTTCACGGCCAGAATCTAATGGTTGTCGTGGGTTTTTTGGGCTCTCTGGCCGTGTTCTGAAGGTTGTTCTTCCTAACATTTCGCCAGTCTCTGTGGCCGGCATCTTCAGAGGGCAGCACTCTGTGCTCTATAGAAGCACAGAGTGCTTCTAAAAAAATGTATATGGAGCTAGACAGGTACAGTGGTGCCCCGCATAGCGAGGTTAATCCGTTCCGGATTAACCTTCGCTATGTGAAAACTTTGCTAAACGGAATGGGGAAGTTCCAAATGGGCACAAAACTCACCGTTTAGCGAACTTTCCAGGGTCCGGCAGCCATTTTCGCGCCCTCAGTAAGCGAGGGGAGGGCACGAAAACGCTGAGCGCAACCATTTTAGGCGTCCGGTGGCCATTTTGAAACCGCTGAACAGCTGATCTGCGGGCGTCGCAAAGCGACTTTTGCCCATTGGGGCCGACGCTATGCCTCCGCATTAGTGATCCCGAAAACGGGATCGCTATGCGGATTCGTCATTATAGGGTGCGCTCGTTAAAGCGAGGCACCACTGTATTAGTGACGTACCTTGTGCCCCGCCTCGGTGAGAGCATAGGCTGCACTGAGCCCGGCGACTCCTGCTCCCACGATCACCACGTGTCTTGGGTGGGATGTCTTCTCTAGTCCGTGTCTGGCTATCTCTAGAAATTCCTCATAATCGCAAAGGAAAGGACTGGAGTCAGCAGTGCAGCTTTGCAGTGTGGCCAAGAATATCAAAGAGGCAAGAACTAGGGAAAACATACACAAGAGAGAGAGAGATGTGGCATATAATTCAGGCTTCCATTCTCCTGTTTGTTCCCCTCCTGTGGATTTCTCTTATCTGTGTTTGGTCCATCTCCCTTTGGATGTGTTCACATCATCTTTATTCTTGTAAATGTCTCCTGAATGTTTTACCCTGCGGTCTTGCCCAAGTCCTTTTAATAAATTTAAATATTAGACAAGAGTTTTATAGCCCTGATGGAGATTGGTGAGAACTGGGGTTCTGTTTATTTCTTTATATTCGGGAAGAAAAAATTCTTATGCAGGCGACATGATTTTACTTTCTGCCCTGCAAGTGGGTGTGCATAAATATCTGAGAATGTTTAGTGCTTATTTGCAGGATTATGATTTAGTAATTAACTAAACTTAATAAATCAAAAGCAGTGATCTTTGGCAAGAGAGGGAGAGCATTGGGCTGTTGAAAATATAATTATTCTTTAAGTAATAAGTTGTTATTGAAACACACTTAAATTCATTTATGTCCCATCGACAGCATCTCGATTAATATAACTGGGGCAAAAAACAGAAGGAGCATGGAAGTTGGAGCATACTACCAACCACCCTATCAAGAAGATGCAGATAAAAACTTTAGAAAAACAAATTGCAAGAATTTCAAAGAAACACAATGTAGTAGTAATTGTAGTAGACTTCAATTACCCTGATATCTCTAGGACGACAAAATCTGCCAAATATGGACCTTCCAATAAATTCTTGGCTTGTGTGGCTGACAATTTTCTCCTACAAAAGATGGAGGAATGAAACCAGAAGAGTAGCTATTCTGGACTGGATCCTAACCAATAGAGATGACCTGGTGGAAGAAGTGGCAGCAAGAGGAACTCTGGAGGCAAATGACCATTTTCTACTTGACTTTGTAATTTCAAAAGAAACAAAGGTAGAGCATAGTCGCATGTATATGCTAGATTTTAGGCAAGCCAGTTTTAATAATCTCAGTACAATGATAGGTGTAATTGCTCTGTCCCCAGAGCACTCCTATCCACACCTTTCTGGGTTATTGTCAGGGGTTTCTGCTTTTTCAGTGCAGGTGAGATTGATTTGTTTTGGTTCATTTCTAGCATGTGTGATCACTGGAAATGAACCAAAATGAGCTTGCAGCTGTCTATTTGCTTTCTGCTTTCAGTTCTCTAATATTGTGACGTGGCTTAGAAAGAGAGCTTAGGCACCTCATGGTATTGGGAAATTAAACATTTTCTCTGCTCCTTTGTGGGAGAGGGGAATGGTATGATGACAGCAGTGATGCACTACATCATTCTGGAAAAAAAAAAGAAAAAATTCAAATGTCCTTCCAGAAGTGGAAGAAGGCGGAAGGGAGATTTTTGATCCAGCAGCATACTGTATACATAGGGAACACATGCTAAATAGGGAAATTGAAAACTTTCTTCCTTCATGCATCAAAGGTAGGAAGGAAAAGAAATATTTTCAATCCAATTAGGGTAACACTACTGTGTTGCATCATGCACATTGAAATCTTCCTCCGAGAAGCAAGAGATGGCAAGGACAGAGAGTTCCCCTCATCCCATTTTTAGTCTTCTTAAAAGAGCCAGAGCAAATAGGGACCCTTGAGGTGCATATGCCATTTTGATGCAAAGATAGCACCACACAGATGTAAATCTCATTGGGTGACCTAAAATGTGGCTGTAGAAAAGGAGGGCCAGTGTGGTGTAGTAGAAACTAGGACTTTGGAGACCTGAGTTCAAATCCTTGCTCAGACATGGAAACCTATCTCAAGCATGCTGATCCACTCTGTATATTTCTTTCAGCTCTTAGAAGTGAATCATCTGTGATTAAAACACCCTAAGGACACAAATGTATATAAGCTTTGAGGTTATGTCTACAAACATGTTTACCGAATGACTGGCCCAGCTCTTTAGCATAAAACTACAAGTGTGGGAAGCAGAACTGGAAAACAGGAAGGAACCACATTATGCAAGATTTTCTCCACTTGTAATTTTTATTTTCCTGTTCCCCCTGCACTTCTAATTTCCACCTTGTGCCAATGATTTACTTTTATTATTTATTTTAGTTATTAAATTTATACCCCGCCCGTCTAGACACAAGTTTACTCTGGGCGGCTAAAAATAAAAATGGAATAAATGATGTACATCTGTGGGACAGATTCTTCTACTTGTCTCCATCCTCCATGCATTAGTTGGCTTCCTTATGCTCAAATGTACTTTCTCACCAGCCAATGATCTTTGAACAAGTCTTAAAGATCATACTTAAGAGCTGTACTTGTCACCTCTCAAGAACTGCAAAGAATCGTGCGGTAGATTAAGGACTGACAAGTTTCATGTGCCAATCTATCTCAAGGACTGCACCTCCCTTTAAGAGCCCGCTTGAGTGTTAAGAGGCATTAAAGAGGGCCTTCTCTGTCACTGCCCCAGACTCCGGAACTCCCTCCCACAGGAGGATAGTCTGGCCCCATCTTTCCGTAAGCAGGTGAAGGCCCTTTTCTTCAGGAAGGAGAAAGACAAGGTAAAAAGATTTTAAATAAACGACAACAGCCAAATGCTTCCATGGATAGTAGCCCATTTTTTCCAATGCAGTTCATGCCAAATAAAATATGTAAAATGCCACAAGATTCTTTGTTAGTTTTGTTCCAACAGGCTAAAATGGTTAACCCCATGGGAAAAAAATCTCCCTACAATTGCTAATTGACTTTTAATGAGCATTGCCAAGACCATCATGATGCTGAACCTTCTGCACTTCTATAGCATTTCATGCTGCCCTTCTGTCTGGGTCTGAAAATGTCTGCCTGTTGAGGTTATATGCTGCTGACCATAAGAGCTCACACAATCATAAATGTCTACAGATCTCTACGGAACTTCTTGTTTCAAGATGTTTACAGGTAAAATATTTAAAGGTGTGAATGCCTCTGTTCTTTAAGGTTCCACCGGAGTCTTTCTTATTTTTGCTCCAATAGATTGAGATAAATAATTTGTATCTTTCTGAAGACAATGGTGGGATTTAAATAAAATACATAGATACCACATGTAAAATAAAATAAAAAGATAGCTGGCTCTCTGAATTTTTTTAAATGCCTTTTTGTTTCTAAAAATTGAACAGCCATGTTCTATCATATTAAAATACAAGCAGTTATCCTTAGTAGGACATTACTTGGGGCACCCAGTGTGGTGTGTAGTGGACAGAGTGATGGACTAGGACTCTGGAGAACCAGGGTTTGAATCCCCATTCAGCCACGGAGACTCACTTGGGGGAGTGGAACTGGTAAAACCACTCCTTAAATATCTCGTTTACCTTGAAAGCCCTGTTAGGGTTGCTATAAGTTGGTTGTGACTTGACAGAACATTAAAAACAATAACAGCAAAACATTACTTACGGAAGATGATCATATTGTTTGCCCTGGGAGTCTAGATCGCGAAGCATCGATACAGATCTTTTGTGAAGTGGTGTACTCAAAATATTTCAAAAGTAATTTATAGAACAGGAAAGGCAGGAAAGAATCCTTTAGTTCCATAAGTTCTCCTCCTCTTTCTTTTTCTCCTCCCATTCTAATTGCACATCAAATAATGAACAAGGAAATAGAATTCTCTCAACTGTACTGATTGCATTCCAACTTCCAGGAGGTCTATTTAAAAATCAGCATGGCAGTTCTATAGGAATGCAGGAGGCTCCTTCCACCGTCAATGGCCATGAAATGGTTTAATAAAGAAATCACTTCAGCCTATTGGCAAATTGAACACTTCCCTTGCTCCTCTGCAGATGGACAAGGGGAGTGAATAGTACTAGTAGTACTATTAACTACTAGACCAATGGTGATGCACTCAATCACTTAGATTAAATTTATATGTATATTATTTGCCTTGTGTGTAATGCTGATCCAGAAACTGCCTGCAGCCGTAGTTTCCATATGCAAGTCACACATAGGCAAATAATTTTAAAAAATTAACCTAAGTGATTCAGCTCATCAGTGATAATCTAGAAGAAGCAAGCAAGCAAGCAAGCAAGCAAGAAAGAAAGAAAGAAGGAAAGAAAGAAGGAAAGAAAGAAAAAGTCACTTCCACATTCTCTCTGCAGCAAAACAGGGGAAATGTTCAATTTGCTCATATCCTGAAGTGGCTTACTGGAAACTGACAGCGGAGGGAGTCTTGGCAGTTTTGACAGCTGCAAGGCTCGATTTGGTCAGTTCCCAGTGGTGGCAGGTACTGGAAACGGACCAAACTAGAGCGCACCTCCCGCATCAAAAAAAGTAGAAGCCCCAGGGCTCAGAAAGGTGTGAGTAGGGGAGCTCTGGCGACGGATTGGTTCTGATCGCTGGAGAAGAAGAGTGAATCATCCCACCCCGGAAGCACACCAAACAGCCGGGCAAAAATAATTTGAAGAGCTCTGAGCGCACATATTACAATACAGTAATACCTTCAAGTGTGTTACAGGAAAAATAAGAAACCACAACAGCCCACAGCCCTCATCCCGTTTACCTCCCAGGACGTCTTCCTTTTCTTATCTTTTCGCCAAAGTTCCCGAAAATCAGGAAGCCCTATGCAGAGAGAAAGGACTGAAACTCTATCCCCAGATGATGTATTTTATTATTCCTGTGCACACGTAAATGAACTTCAAGGTGCGTTCCGTGGAGTTAATTACAATAAGCACACATCGGTACTCGGTCTCAGTATTGCTATCCTGTGTAGGAAAAAAAAAAGTTTCCCTATTTTCAGGAATCCATTGAGTACGAGGATTTTTTTTCGGCCTCCCCCCGCCGTCACTCCAAATCCAAACGTCTTCTAAAAGGATGTGTCAGAAGTGGGATTTGAACCCACGCCTCCATTCGGAGACCAGAACACCCAGCACAGGGAAGGATCAGCCTTGAGTCTGGCGCCTTAGACCACTCGGCCATTCTGACAGTGACGCACAAGCTTCTCTTAGCTCTGCTGTCATTATGCATACGCTAATCTGTGCGCGTCCAGGCGCCCCGAGTTTTTCTCGTTCTTCTAAACTTCAGTCTTTTTGCCCTCAGCTCCGACAACTAGTTGGCAACCGGAATAAAAAAAAAAGCACATTTTCCAAGTCGTGGGTGAGTGTATGCGAGGTCTGGAAAACGCAACTGCCTCTCAGCCCAGCTCCTCCGGGGGTGAAAAAGGCCTTTATTTCCCTACCCCCAACCCCATGGGGACACCTAGCTTATCATCGAGGCGAAAATGCAGTTCTTGACGTTAATTGCGGAGCTTCGAGATGGTGGAGAATGTTTTCAGATCATTTTGAAAGAATCTATGTAAAATCTTCATTTAAGTCGTAGGTGAGATTTTGGATTGGGTAGGATGCTGTGCATGGGATCATGTGCCAGCTCGATACAGTACAGTATACGCAATCACAAATAATTTCAGTTTGTTAGCAGACAAAGTTAGAGAAGATTTAAAGTTTAATACTATGAGTTAATGGCCAAACCTATAGTATTAAGCTTTAAAACTTCCATAACCCTTGCTGCTGAGTGAAACTACTTTTAAAACATATCCAGCATGAACAAGCAATTTAAAATACAGTATTAGGTACAATATCGAATGGTGATTGGTGTCTTTGGATGTGAAAGCTGGAGAATGAGGGAAGACGACAAGAAAATAATCAATTTATTTGGTGCGTGCGTGCGTGCGTGTGTGTGTGTGTGAGAGAGAGAGTTTTACAGATACCACAGACCACCAGAAAGGCAAATAAATGGATTCTAGATTAAATGTATCCTGAACTCTATTGGAAGCTAAAAGGACTAAACCAAAGGTATTATACTTTGGATATATTATGAGAAAGCAAGATTAAAAAGACAAAAATGCTAGAAGTTGAAAGTAGTAGGAAAAGAGAAAGATGGAACATGAGGTTGATTGACTCAATAAAGGGAACCACTGGCACAATTTTGTAGGATCTGACCAGGGTTGTTAATGATAGGACTTTTCTGAAGTTTGTTACATTTATTACAGTCACCATAAATTGGAAACAGGTTGAGAGCACATCATAACAAGTAATCCATGCATGTTTACTTAGAGATATCTTGCTGAATTTAGTGGGACTTAGTCCTAGCCCAAATAAGATTGCAAAAGATTCCAACATTTAATTATTTTAGATCAGGAGTGGAGAATGTCCAGACTTCAATACAATGTCTACTGTGGCCAATGATATAGGACTGGTATAAGTTATACTTGAGAGAAAGGCCTCCTCAGCGGTTGTTCCATATACAGTAATTTAGAATGCACTCCCCAAGATGCCAGGTGGCCCGCTCCCTCTTGCCCTTCCATCGTCAGGCAAAGACCTTCTTCTTCAGGCAGCCTTTTAACAAATAAGTTGTCTCAGGAATGCTGGTTTTAAATGTATAGGTTTTAAAGAGTTTTTAAATTGTTTTTAATTTTGGGTCTCAGGAATGCTGGTTTTTAATGTACAGGTTTTTAAGAGTTTTAAAATTGTTTTTAATTTTGACTTTTGCCTTAATATTGGTATACAGTAATTGTTTTTATATGATATTTTTATAGTAGTATTTTAAAATACTTTTATAGTACTATTTTAAAATACTCTGTTTCAGAATTTTATCTCTTGTGAGCTGCCTTTCTATGGGGAGAAAGGCAGCATATAAATAATATAAATAAAATATGTTATTATCCAAAGCATGGGACAGCTTGGTCAGGGAGCCTTCGCAGTGTTTCTGGCTCCCTAAATGTTTACGGTTGCATCCCTTCACATTGGCAAAATTTAGTGGAAAATGTCCTTTGAACCAATTCAGCCAAATATAAAATGGGGATAGACAGAAGAAAACAGGAGGTGGGAAAAGGGAAGGCAAGATTGCAGTCTAAGTGCTAAAAGCCATGGCAGTTGTGGGCTGGCACCGAAGAACAAACACAAATAAGCGAACAGCACAATGAGTTAGAATAAAATAGCCACAAATCTATTAGGTTGTGGCTACTGGAAGCATTGTGCCAGCATGGAAGACAAATCTGATCATGGGTCAACCTGCCTTCTGGGCATGCACCTGCATCCTAAATTTGACAGACACATCCTGATTCCTTAAAGGGATCTCCACAAGGAGAAGACTACATATACTGTCTAAAAGTCCTTTCCACTTACCAGTGGATTAGACTCCATGCTTTACCTGCTCCCCAGAAAGAAAATCTCACCTCCCAGGTCTGTCTAGCAAATCCTTCACTTGCTGCTCCCTGATCGGTCAGGGAACATCCAATGACACGAGGAGGCATGTTTCATGCAATCTGCCTGTTGGTGTTGTCAATATGGATACCTGCTGCTGGTATCCTCAATATGGCTGCTTTACTTCTTGCCCACCTGTTGTCAGGATTTGGGGTGTGGAGATGGTCCTGAGACAAGTCAGTCATCCAGGTTGACAGCAAAGAAACTCACAGAGACAGTAGGTTCCGTCACCAGCAATGTATTTACAGACTGTGTACAACAGAACTATATATATTAGTCAACAGACTCAATAATACTCTCTCAGCAAATAAACGTGCAGGAACTCTGCAACACAGCACTCAAGAAACTCACAGAGACAGTAGGTTCCGTCACCAGCAATGTATTTACAGACTGTGTACAACAGAACTATATATATTAGTCAACAGACTCAATAATACTCTCTCAGCAAATAAACGGACAGCACTTTGTGCAGGAACTCTGCAACACAGCACTCCACACAGCACCATAGTGTGCAGCATTTATATAGTTTGAACAAAATCACTGGACACATCATTTGATGTGTTCTCGCAGACATTACATCATAGCCAATACACATTTCAAGGATTGCATCAGCCTCATGTGCTGACTCTGTGGCTGCACACCTGTTTCAAGATGGATGCCTCTTTGGTTCATGTACTAAGAGTAAATTCTCTATTATGGGTCATAGTATCCTGACACCTGTTCCCACTGTCTGCAAGCTGGGAGTTCAGAGGAAGTCCCACACGTTACACAGAGTTCAAAATAAAATTAAGCCTGAACTAGTTCTCTTACCTGCCTTGGGTTCCATTTTACTAAATCCAGTAAAAGAAAAAAGAAAAAAAAACGCCATTACCTGCTTTGGCACAGATTGACTTTTGTCAAATGATGTGATAGCCTCCATCTGTGATACCACTGGCCTAATAAGAAACATTGAAATTAAATTTTTATTGTGTTTTAAATGTATGCCGCCCAGAGACCTTTGGGTAGTGTGGGCGGCATATAAATTAAATAAATAAAATAAATAAACCGACTGCCTTGATGCAGTACTAGTGTCTGCATGAATCCATCCTCTTATTTCAAGACATAAATATGCAGCACAAAAGAGTTGGCCTGTTCTAGCCAATATGGAAAAGGGTTGAATTTCAGATGTGTACTATAGAGGAAGAGACAAGATGAGACCTGTACAGGTTGCCTGTCAAGCTGCCAGATATACCACATAGGCTGTACTGTAGAGGCATGTCAACAGCCCACAAACCTTGAGGAAAAATGAGGTAAACGCCTGCTGCGATGCACGTTCACCTGGTGGGAACAATTTAATTTAAGGCTTTATTTAGGTCTCAATGACTAGAGTATAAAGCCTGGAATGATCCAGGACGAACAAGAGGACGAGGGGGAAAAAAAGGTGATGGAACCATGTAAGTGCAAATTTAAAAATGTGTGTTGTACCTCAAAGGCTTAATAAGAAGAGACTTGTAAGATGAAGGCATTAATTTGAAAATCCCACTTTATTTAAGTATGTTGATAATTAATTGCTTTGTCTTCCCCTGAAAGGAAAATCTCTCATGCGCAAGCTAGATGTTTTGAAATACGAGTCTTTGAAACAAGAGGATCTTCCATCAGGCGAAAGATGGGATTTTTCTCAGGCTGGCTTCTTCTCCTCCTTCTCCCCCTTAGAGATCGGCCAGCCCAGGAGAGGGGGGGTAATGGAATGCCCTTTTAGTAAGGAGATG